GCAGTTGAATAATAAACTAAAGCAACCAGCAGTGATGCTCATCAGTAAGACAAAATGACAAAATAAATACCATGAAGGTTTCAAAGTGACTTCCAACTGAAATTCTACGTTTGATGCTGTGATATGACCTCAAAAACATCCTCTACAGTGATGAAAAAGCTTTCAGTTGCTTCCAAGGGTTTTTCAGGATGGACAGTTTTTTGCTTGAACTAGAAAAGAAAATCTGAATTAAAGTTACTACAAAAACTAGTATAGCATTAAAAGCCTTTTGAAATGTTCTAATTATCTTTGGCTAAAAAACACGGTGTGTAGCTGGGCTTTCTTGTTGTTTTAGAGGGGATATTAAAGGCAGAAACATAACTGCAGATCAAGTGAGTGAACACAAAAACAACAGCAGCAGCAGGCTAACCAAAACATAAACACTGTAATATTCAGACTTTTTAAAAGTTTTTTGCCCTCATTTTTCCAAATTTTGTATTTCAAACAAATAATAATAATTGAACTTTACTGTTCTCACATTGGAGAAATTTACCTCTGCATTTAACCCGTTCCCTTGGGTAGCAGTTGGCTGCCACCGTGGGGCGCCCGGGGAGCAATCAGGGGTTAAAGGTCTTGCTCAGACACCCATAGTGGCATACAGTACTGTGGGAGTGGGGCTGGAACGCAGAACCTCAGGATTCCAAGCCCTATGCCGTAACCACTAAGCCACCACTCTCCCCAACCAAATGAAATGTAAAACTGCATCTTTAGGAGAGCAGTCAGTGTACATTTGTATTAGTATTATGAAAACATTTTTCATCAACATACCCAAGATCATTAGACCTTTACCCCGACTCTGAGTTTTCCAAAATGTATTCAACATTTCCAAAACCTGTAACATCCATATCTACAGTAGTTGAAAACTTAAAAGGATAAATTACTCGGCATTTTGTTCTATCCCTTTTAGCCTTTCTGTTGTCTACTTAAACTGTCAAAGCCTGAGTGAACCACAACCTATCTCAAATGGTCAAAATTGAGTTTCCTTTAAAAACAATCCTAATTTTCTCTATACCATCCAAAGCATTTTTGCCATTGAAGCATGCTTTTAAGTTTGTCTCATTCACTGGACAGAAAAAAATTCACTCAATCTTTGAGTGTTTTGACTCAGTATTAAATGCCTACAGAGTTGAAAATTAGTCAGTTACTGTGGATGATATTACTGCTAATAACTGCACACGACCACTTCTAAATGAACTAGCCATTTAACAGCATTTATTTCTATTAAACAAAATGTTAAAACCCACAATTAATGCCCTGGAAATGTTCATAGCTATAAGGCTAATAATGTAAGCTTTCCATAAAAGTAATAACCTTGAAGAGGCTCATTGTTCCTCAGGCAGTCTTCTTGTGCAATCCAAGCTGTCAGCCAGTTTCATTTCCCACAGCTGCACTTTATGTCTCTAATTCAACCAAGATATATTTTACTCGTTGATACTGTCTGTTCAATTGGATCCTCACTTTTTTTTTTTATATATATTGTCACAGAGAAAGCAGTCTTGTCTATGGCTGATAGCAGCATTTGAAAGCCTCTATTTAATGCAGCTCTTCTCTCGAGAGCCGCTTGTTTTGCCGTCAAAAAAAAAGCTGCAATTGATGCATCTGGATATACTCACAATCTTCTACTAGTTTGGCTTTTTATTCAACGATCTGAGGTTGTAATCTTCTTCACTGTTTTGAAAAAGCATGTCTCTGAGTGAATAAAGGTGTTCCTTGCCTGTTCCTGCCATTCAGCTTAGGAGAAATGTTTTGGGCTTTACTATGTGTTACTTTCACTGGTTTCCCTGTCCAGGTCTTCACTGCATCCAAATGCAGACACTCTCAAATCCCTCTTTGAATTGTGTGTGGGGGGGGAGGCACTCCTAATGCTAATTTACTGCTGCTATAATAGAGCCTGTAACAATGTTTATGTAGCATTTTTATATTTTGTTTGTTTATTAATGCATGAAGTTCAATGGGAGAATTTAATGATTGTGCACAGTAGGTTAAAAAAAAGTGAGAACACTTACTTAAATGTTGATGTTTTGATTATTTATTTATTTATTTATTTAAGCAGATCACATGTAGATATTCTCATTTTATTATTCAGGTCTGGGGGCAAGAACAAAAAATGTTGTTTTTTATTAATACATATGAATACATTCATTATTAAAAATGCTCTCCAGCTGAGAGAGTTAGGACATTTCACCATATTTAGTTTATTTTCATTTTGCTGTCAATTCGTTCACATGTACTGGGCATATGAAGAAACCGAAATTGCCTTTTTCTCCCTCTCCATGGTGTACACAGGACATTTCTGACATTAAGGTGGTCAAGAAATGACAGAGAGATGCATACCAGAGGTTCCGCAGTAGGTAGGGGAGCCTCTGGGCTTTCTTTGTCACTGTTGTGGTGTTGGTGTTCCAAGAGAGGTCCTCACTGATGTACACCCCAAGGAATTTGGTGCTGTTCACTCCCTCTACAGAAGCATCATCAGTGGATAGTGGCAGGTGTTGGATGTTGCCTCTCCAAAAGTCGATAATGATCTCCTTGGTTTTGTTGATGTTCAGCAGAAGGTTGTTGTCTGTACACCAAATGGTCATGAGGTTGACCTTCCTCCTGTATTGGGTCTCGTCTCCCTTGTTGATGAGACCCACCAGATTTATGTTGTCAGGAAACTTCACATCAGGCTAACTGCCTCTCTTCAAGAGTTGGAAGTTGGTGAGCAAAGTCATCATTAGATATTACATGGTTTGGATGAATACTGGATTATGAATGAATGTAGAGTGTCTCTTTAAAAGGGTTATCTAAAACCTACATAAATGTTCCTGTCAAATAGTTGGATAGTTTCTCCTACCTGAAATGTTAGCTGGAAACAAGAAGACAATTTACGCTGGTTACCTTGGCAACGCACACCAACTCAAGATGTGAGATTTTCTGAGAAGTAGCCAATATCGTGCAGGTTGTCTTTTCCGGTGGGTAACTCCTTGACAGTAAGAAAAGTTGAGATTAGAAAAGATGTGAGCGTGTTTTATACTGTGCATCAAAGTGTGCATAGAAGCGATTTGGTCTTCAAGCAGAGGGATGTTGCTCTTGCTGTTCTGTGGTGCTGGCTTGTAATCTGTGATGGCCTCAATGCCTTGCTAAAGGCTCTGCGCATTCTTACTGTTTCTGAAGTTGGCTATTATCTTGTGTGTGTAGTCCTGTTTTGCTTTCTTGATGCTATGGGACAAGTTAGCTCTTGCTGTCCTGATGACAGATTAATTCCCAGCTATGAAGGCTTTGTCTCTGGCCTTCAGTAGCCTGGGGGCATTGTCTGTCAGCCATTGCTTCCGGTTAGCCCGGGTGATGATGTTCTTTGAGAGTCACATCATTGATGCACTTGGAGATGTAAGAGTATACAGAGTCTGTGTACTCCTCTTTGTCAATCTGGTTGTTGTAAGTGGTTGACTGCTTAAGCATATAATAGGTGTGGAAAGTTGGTTTATAGGGAAAATTTCTGTAGGATGACAATTCAAAGGGCTGTACATGAGAAGAAAAAGAAAAGTACAATGCAATGGCATAAAGTTAACACCCAGAAAATCTAAGTAAGTCATTTAAATGATTAAATTATATTAAAAAAGATAATGCTTGTTAAAAATAAAGAAATGTTGTACTAAAGCTTTATCTAAAAATCTTAGATAGCAGAGTCAAAGGCCACTTTAAATATATATATTTTTTAAAGCCAATGGGGGTTTGAATACTTTTATATTTTCTGGGAGTTTGTTGCAGATTCGTAAAGATTCAGAACTAAATGTTGATTCTGGCTCTAGGTATGCAAAGTAGTTTGGGGCCAGAATTAGAGGTCTAGGTGGTGGATTCACTGACATCATGTGTTTCAAGGTCCTGCTCAGGCATTGGTCCTTTGATCCTGGTGACATTCTTCAGTTGATAAAAGGCCACTAATAGCTGGCTTTATACCCGCTTTGGCAAATATTACCTTCAGTGACATATTTCTAACTCTCAATTTCAGCTGTGAGATGTTGAAAGATTAATTTTGTTTACATCCTCCCTTCCAAAATTCATTAGTTGCCTTCAGCTTCTCATTTGGTTCAAGTCAGCACTTGGTCGAGCAACATGTATACTTTTTGATAATTGTAATGTTGTAGGGTTCAACTTAATTTAAGTTGGATTCATACATTCCTCAAGGAGTGTGTGATGCACATTAGACTCCATTGTGGCTCCCATTCCAGTGAGCTGGTCAGGTCGTACGGGAGCATAGACCCTTAAAACCTTGACACTTTGACCCCCATGCTATGATTTTCTCTGTGATCATATTAAAACTTTATGGTCACTCCTGTAAAGTTCACTCTGGCTTTCCATGTTTGACTTAGAGAGCCCCTCCTTAAACGTCAACCTTTTAAATTCTTTGTTTATATGACTGATTTGGATTAGATAAATTATCACAATCACAGCAACAAGAGCCTGTTGCCTGTACTGGAATGACATTTTAGTATTTAAAGATACTTCGGGCATGCAGGTGGCAAACAGGCCTAGTTTCCAAGAGGTTAAACAGAGAACAACTCCTTCAAAATATAGAATGATTATGTTCTCATCTAGTTTACCTGTGTGTAATTTTAGCACTTTTATAGGAGAACAACTGTGGTCATGGCCATTTTTTGTAGTGGCATTCTGTTTAATACCACTTTATTCTTTGGTGTATATAATTAGTTACTGTTACTTTCAAGCAATAACGTTGATCTACAGGTAATGCCTCTGTTTGCATCTTGACCAGGACATCCTTGTAAAAGAGATTCATAATTTCATTGGATTTCCTGGTAAAACTTGTTAAATGTTAAATTAAGGGAGAAAATAAAACATTTTTTAAAAATAAGTAGACTTTAAAAGTTTGTTAGTTTTATTGTTTCTTTGTAGTACTCTACTTCAGAAAAACACACTGATGTAGGGTATGCACACCTCTCTCATTTCCTTTTTGTTTTTCTCAGATCGGCACAGAGTGGGACGCTAAAGAACGCATGTTCAGAAATATTGGTGGCCTTATGGGTCCTATGGATGAGACAGTGGGCATGCAGAAGTGGAACAAAGGGCCAAACATCACAGTTACTGTGGTCTGGATCGACCCAACTAATGTTATCGCAGCCACCTACGACATCCTGATCGACTCGAGTGCAGAGTTTACCCACTATCGTCCACCACTCAACCAGCCGCTGCGTCCTGGAGTCTGGAACATCCGGATTCTGCATAACTGGAGTCCTGTTGCTGAGATTCGTTTCCTTATCATTCCACTGGCTTATAACAAGCACCAGCCTATAAGACAAGGTCAGAAACACTCAAACCTTCTTTGTTGTAAACATCTCTCACTTGTCCAATTGTGCACTTTCCATCTGTCTGTGTGATTTGATTGAATTGTCTTTATGAAATGCCTATGTTGTGAATTGGCATTATTTAAATTAACTGAATTGGATTGAGCTTATCTCAGCTGGAGGATAACTTAATATCACTCTATGTCTTTTGCAACTTGGATTATATCCAGAAATCTAAATTTTAATTTCTACTCGGTGAGGGAGAACTTTGGTAGCCCTCTTTCAGCCAGTTGACCAGCAGAGTAGCAACAGGATGGGGAGATTGTCCGGTTTTAGTCAAGTAAGAATGCTTTTCAGTATTCTCAATTGTTTCTTTTCAAAAAAATTTTGAACACAAAAACTGTTTCTGCTGTTTTCAGCTTACCGTACAACATTCTAACGGCTGTTTCACAGCCCGAGAAAATTTTAGCTTTTTTTCTACTTCATCATAAAGAGAATTAGTGTGACTAAAGATTTTGAAGTTTTGAAACTTTGATGCCCATAACCTACCTAATCAACAGTCAGTACGTCACCTTTATCCACATCTCTGACATCCCCAGGTAATGAGCCAACTATGTTTAGTCTCTCACTTTGAACCTTCTGTCTGTTAAAGTTGAGCATAGATACATTTTTTATTCCTCCTGTTTTAAGGCTTCAATTTCAAATGTTTCCAAGCTTCTTCCAAACACTATTTTAATAAGATTTATGAAACTGTATGTAAGTTTGATTTTAAACTTCATTGCATGATGGATACCTGTGGTATTTGTCCGTTCACAAAAACACCAGAATCCATTTTGTCCCTGTTATGGTTTTTACGTATTTGGTCCAAATTCAGATCACACTCGGGAGGCAAAGACAGTCAAAGGCATTTATTGAAATACAGACAGGAGATGTTGATGGGGTTCTTTACAGTAAAGAAGTGCCAAGGGAGGACGCGTGAACGGGGCTTGTTCGATCTACGGATGAGAGTGAGTTGGTTAGACAGAGCACAGGGTACCAGAAGCGCGAGAAGGGGGAAAACGCTTACCGCCGAACACGGGGACCTAACCGGGGGGAGACAAGCAGAGAGATGGACCCAGTACGAGACTCCCAGGGATGGCAGCGGTGACTGAGCAGCTGATGGGCGAGCTGGTGGAGCGTAGCGGGGTCCAAGCAGCACGGGTGGTGGGAGAACCATTTTTTGCATTTACTTAATCATATTTAGTTACTTTAACACAATTATTTCATGTTAGCAGGGAAAGACATAAAAAAATGTGTTAAAGTAACTAAATATGATTAAGTAAATGCCAAAAGCGGTTGCATTATTTTTTTTCAGCTGGAGGAACCAGTGGAGTTATGGAGAGATCCTCAGCCCGGTTTGGTAACACCAAGGAGATGTCTGAGTGGAATTCCAGTAGGAGGCGGAGGTAAACTTGTCTAAGGGCAACAGAGAATGAAGCAATGCTTGAAGAGGGATCCAAGGAGTGAGGCAACCTGAGAAACACAGGAAACAAGAATTACAAAGTACACAAGAGCTGTCAGAAGACAGTGGCCAACTGAGGCGTACCCCACTAGGTTAACACTCTAGCATCCTCCAGCTGTCACCGCCGCTTAAGTGCTTCCGAGCAACACTGCCGGATGAACTACAGGTGGTCGCCACGCCCACCTGCAAAACACAGTCACCTGTGGAGAAGGGAGAGAGAAGAGACGGCAGGTATCTGCTTAGCGCTGCATGCTGGGTCATGACAGTCCCCCTCCTGCTTCGGTTATCACATTGTTGTTTAAGATGGGACATATAGCTGTTACAGAAGCAAGAGCTGTCGAGCCCACAGATGAACCAAAATAAACATGGCACCGAAGGAGAGGTAGGCATAGCTGCTGCTACAATACCACAAATTCGTCTTGGAAACAGAAATAGCAAGAGTCTCTCATGGAATCTGCTGCTATTTTATTTGTAGCTGTGATTGGCTTTAAACATACTTAATGTCAATCCTTTCCTCAAACAGATTTGATAGGAGCAGTCACAGATTGATGAGGTGTGGACACTCCTAACATATGCATAACCATGCACATTATCAGTCTGACTTGCCAGGTTAATTTGATTTTAGTGGTTTCTTAGAAATCTACTTTTGAATGCAATGAACTTCATGGTAGTCTGCACTCCTCAACAAGTAATGCGGTAAGAAAACATTTAAAGATTGTATGAAATTAGAGATCAATTAGTGTGAGATTTATGCTCTTCTCTTCTTTCATAGGGAAATTCTTCCAGGAGGAATTATCCTCTTACCTTTTGTCATGGTTCAGATGCGTGCCCCATAAAAACTTTAGTATGAGTTATCATAGACTTTAATGGAGAAAAGTGCTGTGATTATTTCTTATCTCTTATCAATTCTGAACAAATATTTATAATTGATCTCATCTTTAAACATCTTTAAGTCTGAAAGTGAATCACCAATACAGTTTTCTCATACTTTAGTCTGGGGCTGAGAGTAACTTTTCCTTACTTTACTTTACTTAAAATATTAATGTTTGCCATTATTTGTGTGGTGATTTTGGGTTCCACCAGTAATATGTTCACATTCTTTGCTCTCATCCAATGCTTTGATTATTTTACCACGAGTCAGTTTATTAACTCGTACTTAAATGGAGCTTCATGCCACTATGAGGAACTCACTCAAATAGTTTTGTATTTATCATTTCTTTCTCGCTGACACTCACATTGTGTCACTGATGTCGAATCAAGCAGCTTGAATGCTACATTGACCATGAATTAATGCTTGCTCATTTAGGTGTCCCGAGCTTTCCAACAACACACAAACTCACAGACACACAAAGTCGTGTATCTGCAGGGATGCCCTTTCTAATCAAGCATTGGGCTTTTGCAGACCCTAGTTATTTGTCATCAAGTCACCCCTAATAACCCAGCAAGCAGCTCATACATTCTAAACAGACTGTTAAACAACAGTGCACTTACCCCTCTTAAAACAATGACACGATTAAATCAGTCAGTCAGCCTGGGTAAGAAACAAGACTGCAGTGCTTTAATCCATGAGCCACCAGTTTCCCCTGAACGTCACATGAGAGCTGAGCTGCTGACTTTAGTGTAGTCGCATCTTTCATCTCAGCTTTTTTAATGATGCAGATGAACAACAAATAATGTTACATCTGCTGTCCTAAATGTGAGTCTCACACGGGCTGTTTTTCTGTCAGAATTAGTTGCACATTAGCCACAACTAAGCAGCCATGCTCACACCAAAATAAGATAATATAAGAAATGCCTTTAGTGTCACACTGGGGGGAAAGTCGGATGTGACAGTAGCAAGAACACACAGATATAAGACATATAATACCTTATAAAGAGAGCAAGTTTTATGAAAAGAGCAACGATTTAAACATTAAGATGAGCAAAAAAAGAAAATAGGAAAAAATTTAGAGGATATTAGGGAGTTATTAATCAGAAAAGGTGTATTCAGGTTCAAAAAATGCAGGGGAAAAAAGACAGTTTGAACTTGAATTGAACTTTCGATTGTGTCCAACTGCTGGTCTGCCTACACCTAAAATATCAGGTCTGCTTTCACCCACAATAATTTCAACACCTTAACTAAACAAAGCAAAAATATTCTGTGGCTCCGAGCAAAAAAAGATCAGTATCCACAGTAGTCACCAACGGGTTTGTGCTGCTTGCTTTGCAGAAGCACACACCTTTAAATTGCAGATAATGTAGGCCAGGTGCTGAGACAGAGGGAAGCTCTAGTTTTTCTAGTCTTTGGTAAGCAGTCATAGAGGAGCCCTTTTAATGGTATAGAGAGGAGGAGACAAAGTTGCTCCTTCTCTTAATGTTTCTAACAGAGCTGCACAAAATGTCATCTCAGGCTTCATCATCATAATGTCTTTTGAATATGCCTTTTGTAAAGCACAGCTTACAAGGACACCGATATTTCCAGTGTCAAGCGTTTATATTGCTCACATACTTGGATGGACTCACACTGCCCCTTGATGCCCATCTATGATAGATGTAGAGCTCTACTGTCATGTAGATAATGTTTATTAACGAGGGAAGGAAAAAGGAGGAAAATATGGGTTTATTTTATTAGAAGCCACCAATGTCTCTCAATAATATATTCTTTTATAGCAAAGGGCCATCGTTTCTAACTTAATTTCACAAGTCAGAGTCAAACTAAGTAGATGCCGCTTCTTACCCTCTGCATGATCAGCAGTTCTAGCGTATGTCTGTGGTGAATGTGTTTCATGTTCCAATTAATAAAATGGAAAGAAATACAGATGTGATGTACAGGTACATTGTTGTTAAAAACAGACTGAATTAATTTTTCCCCTTTTTAGAATTGTTTTTTGGCTCTAGTGGCCTTTATTTGAAAGTCAATAAACAGGAAAATGGCTTGAGAGAGAGGGTGGAAAGACATGTGGCAAAGGTCAACGAGCCGTGACTCAAAGCCATGGAGTTAGAATCCCGATCTAAGGCCTCTACTCAGTGGTTGAACACTTTACCCCTTCACCACCACAGTGCCCCAACTGATTTTTTTTATTTTTAAATCAACTATTGGTGTTTTAACTTTATATTTTAATGGCCATGGACAGTTAGTCCTTTGTGCCCGCTTTTCTATTTAGTTCAAGCTTCTTATATAGTGTCAGTTTCATAGAAATACTTTATACTCTCATAAAGTCTGGAAAAGTATGGAGTTAAGAAAAATCAATCATCACTGTAGTTCCTGGAGTGATTCTGTTATTTAAAAGATGAAAATTTGAAGTTTCTTTCGTTTTTATAAGACATTTTTTCACATGCTTATGATTTAATTACATCCTTTAATTAACAACATGATAGCTTAAGATTTATTTTGTCACTTGTGAAGTTTAAATAGTAGACAGATATAAATGCTTTATTAACAAAAATATTTCATTAAAAATCTGCCCTGAAAAGATCATCATAACCCTGGAAACCCACATCTAACATGGTTCTTATAAAAATAAAAAGATAAAATGAATGCAGGACACATTTCTTTCAGCACAGTTTTAAGAAGATTGTGGAAAATATATAAATAAATTGAAGTTTTGAAGATGTGAAATCAAAAAGGTTTCTTAGAGGACATGTAACTGTCTGTTTTTAGAGGGGACCCCGTATAATAAAAGTTCATATAAGATAAAAAACTAAATTACTTTAGTTGGTCGTTATTAAAACTCCACTGTCTTTCTTAGAGCATCGAATATTATTATTTAAAGCAGTAGATGAAGGATTCATATATGTTTGTTTCTGAAAGAATAATGTACTGCTGTGTGTTTGTATATTTTTGGTGAAAACTACATCATAGTTTGTATACCTGTGTGTTTTGTAGGCTCTGGTTTTATCTTTTAGTCTTCCTGCTTATAATTTACTGTTATGTCTGGAACCATGTTTCCCCTCCTACATGCATTGCCGGTTAAACTTTATGATGTGGCAACAGTACACACACACACCCACACACGCATTTTTTGCAATGAAGCCAAACACCCCTTTAAAGGTGCATGGCTTTATACCACACAGCAGTACCACAAAGCGAGCCGTCCAATGTGCTGACTGCACGTCGGGTTTGACTGCAACATTCTGTCACAAGAGTGAGAAGAACGCTGATGTCTGCAAACATCTGGGTGCAAAGGGTTTTGGGGTTTTTTTCCTACACAGCCGTGCTCATAAGGGATGGCAGGCCTCCCAGTTAGGAGACCAGTGAGGAATTTAAAGCTTCACTGGGGCTCAGGGTGGAGTGGGTGCATTAAAAGAGAAGCTGTGTTTGGGATTTCATAGCCTTCCTTCCAGGGTTTTACCGTCACGGGAAACAGGAATGAGGGCATGTCTTGGATCTTTCTGTATACACAAATTTGGCATTGCAACAATGTGAAACACCACATCAGAGAAATATTTGAAAGATTGAATGCCAAATTTGAGCCCAAGTAAATTGGAAACCAGTTTGTACTTAAAGCCTGCACCTCCTCACCACACTTCATTTTCCCCACTACATCGTCATTTTTTCAATTCATCAGTGCAATTTGTAGTTTACTTTCTTTTCTGATACTTGTACTGGGAAAAAAATGCAACCATGTTTGGCATTTACGTAATGAAATTTAGTTAAACATATATTTTTTATATTAGTAGGGTGGGACATAAAACAAATATAAATAAGTAGCTGCCAAAAACGGTTGCATTATTTTTTTAGTACATTTAGTACTCTGGTTTTATAAATTATGGTTATAGCTTGTTATTTTTAAAACAATCGGGCCCTGATTGCTCAGTAGCAGAGCAGCAATTGTTTTTTTGCACTGAAACTGGGCTTTAAGAAAGGACCAAAAATTGTTCTTCTTTATCAGATTTTCCCAACCCAAAAATCATTACTCAGCTAATATAGTGACATAATGTCTGCACTGGCACCACATCAGCAGTCCACCACCAAGCTGTTTTGTCTCGTCAGTTCTGGCCTATTGTAAGACAAGTACACCTCTGAACTGTGCTACATTGTGAATGAATAATAACTTAAGGATGCATTCAAGCACACTTTGCACTCTACATACTTAGTGTTAAAATACTTTTAAATAGATTTTCAAATTCTATTATTAAAGATCATCATGACAGTATTTAATACTTTATAAATAACATAACCCCTTTTATTGTATGTAATAATACATTTTGATCAAACCACCCAACTCTCAAGTAATCTCATTTTAAACCTTATTAATAATTAGATGTTTTTGGTCTTTTCAGAGAATTTCACCACTTCTTTATGAATACCCAGTGTTGCAAATGTGTTTTAACTAATGGACTACTCCACTGTAGCTGCTTTGATTAAATACTTTTTTTAAGGAAATAGAAAAATACACTTTTAGGTAAACACACTAAAAAGAAAATGCAGCTCAAACTTAAATGAATAGCTTCAACTGGTAACAAGTATTTGAATTAAGTTTTCCCAAATTAATTTATTTAGGTTTTGACTTACAAACTTATTAAATTAAATTGGAACAACTTGATCCAAATACTTTGTGCACTGAGAGGACAGCAGATTTCATACAATCTAAAGCAAGATCTTATATTTAGTTACCCTATAATACCTATGATAAACTGCTGAGTAAGATCTACTGTATAAGACATTTAAAGATTTAGAAAGGGTTTCATTATCTTGAAGGTATTTCAATAAAGACTATCCAATTTCCAATTTTTATTTGAGTTCACACAACATCACCTTGTTAGGATGTCTGATTTCATCATAAACTTGCTGGCTTGAGGTTTTGAATGTTTTAGCTCTAAAGTCGATAAATATACTTTAAAGTTTCTGCCTAAAATATTTAGATTTCACTAATGTTATCCTCTGTTAAACAAAGCTGCTCTCCTCACTGTCTCCGCAACATCGATCAAACCCACGAGGGAGGAGCAGCTCAGAGTAACTCGTAGATCATTCTGCTCTGCATTCACTGCCAATCGGTCATCTTATATTTACTCATTAAAACGCTCATTTGGATGGCATAAGGGTTTAAATTTCACAATGTCACTGGATCTGTCATTTCTTAACATGTATTTTTTCTTGAATCACTTAATTAGAATTAAATCCCCAGCCCTGAATCTTACATATGTGTTTCTGCTTATGTGTTTTAGGGGAATCAGAACACTGTTAAAAGAATCTGCATTTGCACTACTTATCCTTGACTATGTGTCTTTTTACTCTTTGCTCTTCAGAGGACACACTAAGGCTCCACAATGGGCCAACGAAGAACAGCTACATGGAGCAGAGCTTCCACGGCCTGAACCCGGTGCTCAACATCCCTGTCAGCCTGGCGTATGTGGAGCGAGCCAAGAGGAACGCAGCCCTTACTGGCCAGGAGCTCGAAGGCTGGGTGGATGGCCTTGTTGGAGAGCTATGGGAGGCTGCTGACATCTGTGCTGTTGGCCTCACTGCCTGCCCCGTCATGCAGCCCTGCGCTAAAAGCCCTTGGAGCTCCATGAGCCCAGATCCCAAATCCCACTTGGGAACTCCGCGCAGCGACGGCCGGATAAGGTAGCAACAAGGCCTCCAGCTGGACAGGAGGCCATGACACAGTTTACTTTTATTTATTTGAGGCGCTTATCCCAAGAGAGGGAGAGGAGAAAGCCAATCTTCTGCCCCAGTGACAGGAAGCAAATGAAAAAAGGTGGACTCCTTTAGCGTGCTGTGGGAAGGCTTTCTCAAATGCAAGGGGAAGCATTTCTCTAAACCTCCAATAGAGTTTATTCCTCTTGGGGTTTTGCTGGCTTTGCTGTTTCACTTTCTCAGTGTATTTATTTTTCTTTTCATGGCTGAGGTTTACTGTGATCAAATGTTGCAACTTTGGAGCTTTTTAATGTGCAGCCTTTTAAACTGCGACGCCCTGCCTTAGGGCAGTTTGGCCAAGTGAGTCTGGATTGTCGACGCTGCTGCAACAAGGCCTTAGTTGGAGAACATTCACCGGTAGGTAGCTAAGCACTGAGATTAACCCAGCTCCTAAAACCTTATAAACAATATAAAAAGTCATAACATCCCCGTAAATATATTTAAAAGAGATTTTGTAACACCTCAAAATCAATTACTTAATTAATAAAATTAGGCAACAAATTCTGTCTTTGTAATTTCATCACCCTTCATATCTACAGGCACCCATGGTAAGAATGTGTAGGATGCCTTAATATAAGTACATCTCACAGTAAAAATAAAACTTAGCTAATGTTTTGGAGATTTTTGTTTATTTCTAACCAAACTTTTCACTGTGGATGTTAGCAAGATAAACTCTGGATTTCTTGCAGCCTATCTTTATGTTGCAGTTCAAACTCTTTTAAGCTTTTTTGATGATGCTTTAGCTGTAGATATTTGGGTCATTATAATGGTAAAGGTTTCTCAATAGCAATATTCAAGCTCAATTTTTAGTTCAATGAAAATATTTCTCTCTAATAAAAGAGAAAAATATTACCCATCACTACAAATAAATGTCCAATGGTTACTTATAGCACAAACCACAAATATTAATGATATTAAATAGTAATAATACTTTATTAAGTGTATTTTTGAATAGCAAAGGGGACATGAGAAGAGGGATATTGATTCAATGTTTTTGTAAGCATTCTTCATTTACAATGTAAACAATATTCAGTGCAGGTCTATGGTCTTTTTGTTCTTTAACTGTTTCTTACCCAAATACGACAGCCTGCAGCTTGATTTCCCTGCATAATTTCACGCCTCAGTAGGGGAGGGTCAGACTAAAGTGGCTGTCAGTTGGTGGCTAATATCAGAATGAGTCAGCACTATTCACTATGTTTGGTTCACAAACAAGGTCTCTGACTTTAGCTTATCATAACTCGTAACATAATCAGCATAGCCAACAACAAAATAAAACAATTTGTACAAGTGGGCATTTTGGCTGCAAATGCATAAAAAGAGCAAGGCAAGTTGTAGTTTTGCAAACACCTTAAGAGTTCTGGGATATTATTTTCATAGCACAGCATAGTGTACGAAGTATAAGATCTGAACAGTTGATTTTATATAATGCTGTTTACTATGTCACTGTTGCAGATGTAGAATTTTCAGTGACATGCTGAGATTGGAAAGGTTAAATCTTGCAGCAGGAGCATTAAACAGTTTGAACCTTGATCATTGAGGAGAGCCTCTGCATGTACTGTAGTGGACTGCGTTTCTGCAGCACTGATATGCGAAGTTGTACGCCAACTTGGGACAATGAAAATGGCTGAATTAGGATTAATTCTGCACTAAATAGTATATTTAAAACATTTAAGAATGTCTTTTGAAGGTTGATTATATTTAAATGTTTATTCTAGCAATCATTGTAGAAATGGAACATGAACCATGGATCAACACATATCTTTTATTTAAATTTTCTCTTTCTTACTTCCTATTTATACACCTAAGAACCATTTTTGTTCCTCTCTGGTCAACTTAAAAAAAATAAAATAAAAATCTAATTAAGTTTAACTGCTTTTATAGGTATTTATAACCTGATTGTTTAAGATTTGTTAAAAAATGTACATTTTATTTGCCCCTAAATTATTTTAGTACAGGAAAAGAATAACATGTTAATGCTTTTTAATAACTGATTTACCAGGGTTGCCAATAAATATGTGGGGTGCTGTAAATCACTTATTCCTGCTTTTGAGTGCCTGATTAGGTTTTAGAGCAGTTATATCTGTTTTTTTATATTAAGATTAAAGCCTGTTTAGGAAAAAGGTAATTTTTGGGAACCATTGATTTAAAAAAAAAATGCTGGTAGATATTTCAGTTTATCTTACTTTTTCCATATAGACTAGACTCTTTTTCAAATAGCCAGATGCTATTACAGGCAGTAAACAATAAAATATTAATATTTTGTTCTTGTTTCTCTTAGTTCAAACAACCTCAAACTTGAAACAAAATGACCTTAAGCTAACCTTAAAAGTTTTGTGCTTGTTGAGTTTGTTCCAGTCATTTCACAACACTTAATGTTGTAAATAATTATTAAAAAATCTTCAAAATTCTTAGGGTGGGAGAGGTATTGCTATTTATTTCTAAGTTTATATTAATACTGATATTTTTAGTCAGTGACTAAATAACTGCGACGCTGCCGTGGCAGCATGAGGAGTATTTTTTTGTAAGGAAAGCCGCCTTTATTTACAAAGGCCATCACCCCGAACTTAATATTGTATGTTTTTATGGCCCGCACCTGTGCGTTAGTCTGTGCTGTCCTGTCTGAATAAGACTTTCTTGTCCCGGGTTTCTTAAGTAGTTGTTTGCAGTGTGCATCACAAGAGAAAAGACATACTGATCATTGAGCTAAAAGGTTCCAGAGCGTTTTACATTTTATTGTATTACAACCACAAGCTTGATATTATTATCTCTAATAGACCAACACACTGGAGTGCACAATTCAAATTTTACTTTGTGTTTTTAAAAGCAAGGATTTTAGAAGTCTGGCTTGCATTAGTATGCAGGCCACCTGATTGAAACATTTTTAAAAAACCTTGTGCTGTTACAGCTTTCCATATGTCTCCACCAGTTTTTAACGTCTAAGGTAGAACTATTTTGTCATTGTCTTTTTGAGCATGGCTCAAACTAACCCAGATTAGACATGGAGCATCTCTTAGCATTTTTCAAGTTATTCCACAGATTCCTAATTAGATATAGACTTGAGCTTGTCCTACTGGTAGGAAAAAATACATCATGCAGCCTGTTGTCTTTTTTTTTTTAGATTACTTTGCATTTAGCACCAATTTGATCAAGTCTAACGAACTTCTTTTCTTTTCTTCTGTTACAAAGAAAGGCATTGTCTAAGCATGATGCTACTCCACCATGTGTCACCATGTTGTATTTTGCATATGGTTTTATTTTGGTCTGATCTCACTTGCCTGCACCATTGGCATAAAACCTAAAATGAACTTTTAAAAATGGGTTCTTGTCGATCTTTCAAAATGAGCTGAATTTGCACAGTTTCCCCCCACTTTGTGTTGGTCTAGTACATGATATGCCAAACAAAACATTAGAATTTAATGTTGTAATGTGACAGACTTGGAAAAAGTTTCTGAATCTTGCAAAGGACTACATCTAGTGTAAACAGTGACTAGAAACTGTCTCTACAAAAAACACTCTGGAATATATGTGGCTCAAAGGAGAAACTGTGCTTTTTGGTGTTGTTTCTGAATGGCATTCAATGGTTGTAGTTTTCATGCTGTAACAAAAAAAGTGGAATTTCATATATTGTATCTTTAGTGCAAAAACAACTAATAATTTATTAGACTTGATCTATGGCACCTTGTCAGCTGTGTTCACATTTAAAGTACATTTTCTCTCATCAAGACAATCTCTGGACATTTAAATCGACCTAATCACACCCAGGTTGGCAACTAGACCTGAACGAGGAGTTTGGGCACATATTTGCTTTACCTTGAAATCGGTGTCATCTGAAGCCAATTAGGTTTTCAATCTGTGATTGTCAGCATTGTTTAGTCATCACAGCAGCTAAATGAGAGGTTTTGCACAGTCTAATGAAGAGACATTACTGTTCATTAATGTCAAGTTCACCTTGCCTCTCTGTCAGATGGGAGGATTATAACTGCTGTCCCTCTTTCCCTTTCAAATCTACTCTATTTCTGAGGTTAAACATCACTGATAGTACCACCTTATTCCAAACAGTCGCATTACGCAGTACTTATTATGGTGTAAGCTCAATTAAAGGTTTGACTTAAATGATTTAATTGTAACTAAATGTGAAAGTCATATTTTGTAACAAAGGATTAACAAATGAAGATGTACTGTACATAGGTATTTTGTATGGACATATTGTTTAGAAAGGAAACCATTCTTGTAAATACAGAGGTGATAAATTGACATTTTTAAGAGGTCAAAATGAGTGAATTTAGTGTTTTATCAATGAGAAGACATGACCTGTTTCAGTATTTTGGACTGCTGTGACAGCAACCGTTTCCTTTCGGTGTCCCAGAGAATCCAGATTGTTGTTGTTCTTGCTGGAATGTAACGTTGAGCATCAGTTGCACAAAGTTCTCTGATTCATGATCCCCTACTGTTTTATTCAGAGAGGCTCCCTGTGCCTTAGCTGATTTTTAGAACCTTCTCTGTCCATAAAAGCCAATCTTTTTCTTTTTTTTTTCTTCTTTTTTTTGACCTTATGTGAAGAAAGCCATGAGTCTGTGAAGTGATCCATTGGTACTCTGACACCAAAATGATGTCTGCTGTTGTATATATCATCAGGCCTTCTATTGCTGTTATCAGCTTCTTTTCTTTTCTTTTCTTTCTTTTTTTGTTATTCTCTTTTGAGGAATTTGTTTTGTCGAACTGGCTTGTTTTACTTTTCTCTGACTACTTTTTGGAAATAAAATCTTGCAAAAAAACAGCTCACATGGATGTGTGTTAAATAGTGGTTTTATGGGATTGAGCTACTAATACTGGCAATATACAAATAGTATAGATGGATGGATGGAAGGATGGATACAAACATTTAAATCCACATATTCATTTTTCTGTGATGTAAAAAACAGCTAAGTTGTAAAGAAAAACTAATTTACTACTGGACAGATATACCAAGCTTGATTTGTTCATATGTAATTAACTATGTTTCCTTTTAAGATACAGATTGATAGATGATTAAAAGGGTGGATTTAAGAGTGAGCCTAAAGTTTCATTTAAAAAAAAATGCAACAATGCTGTTCCAGCGCTGTAACGACCTCTAAGATCTGACTGATGCCCTTCAAAATGTTGATTACAGCATAAATACTCTCACACTTGATTAGCAACTCTTAAGAATCTTAGATAAGAAAGAAAGATTAAATATAAATCTGCAATATAATCGATCTAGTCATTTTGATTAAAAGATGGTTTGTTTTAAGGTTTAATAACAGCTATCTTAAAAGCTGAAGGTACATATCCCTATATTAGGGATAGATAGAGGTGGAAATTAGGAGGAATGCTTCCTTAGGGTTGTAGAGCTTTCCTTCAACGTTGCTTCACCTTCCAGAGATGAACCAATCATATTAAGACAGGTACAGATTATGTTATTTTTAATAGATTCCATCTTATTTAGAAAGAATCCTATAAAGTCATCACTGCTAAAACCAAGGGGAATCAGTAGTCCAACAAAGCTTTGGCTGAGTGAGAGTTTGGCAACTGTATTAAAAATAAATCTATGATTATTCTTGTTGTTCTCTATTGATGAGAAGAAAGATGCTGCTTGTTTACAAATAATTTTTATATACACTAAAGCTGTTTTTTTTATCTTTTTTTTTTTTTTTTTTGGATTAAGTTTCCCGCAAATGTGTATAGTCATGACTATTCTGCCTTGTGACTGCCATATTGAGTACTGAACACTTACTGTAGGTTAGCTCTGTGGCTCTTCTCCCTCTGACCAGAATGGATCATTTTCATTTAAATCCCAGTGAGCTTAAACAATACACAGAGAAAATCTGTGTTATTGGATTTTTCCTTTCACAACTGATACACAACCTGTCTTCATACACCGTCTGAAAGATTTTAAAAGCATAGGTGCCAACCGTATTTCACAGCTGGATGGGTTATTGACTCAAAAATATGGCATCTGAAAAACAATAAGATATTGATATGTAAAGCAAAGGTAAGCCACTTTCTGCTGATCATTATGCTTACTTTATGTAAACAGCTAAACACAACTATAATGTCTGTAGCAAAATCTCCAGCTTTTAATATCAATGCACTTTTCCACAATGTGTCTAATCAGTTTATTCTAATGACTTCATTCACCTCACTTGTTTTGAAACTCAACTGATAGAAAATGTACTCTGCACAGATGGCTAATTGGAGTACAAAACTCTTCTAAAAGTCTCTTTCCAGTTTACAATTTAGATAAGGATTACTTCATTTTTCTCTTTAATTGGGATTAATTGTATTCAAGTATTTCAAGATAAATGTTCCTCGGACTATGGTTGTATAGTAAATACACAGGATTTTAAAAGATGGGAAACACCGACTATTTCTTTGGCAGATCGCATAAATTTGATCAGAACGTCTATACTAACCAGGTTTTAAAACATTTTTCAAAGGATTCCGAATATTGTAACAAAATCTGTCTATAGGAACTTGGATAGATAACATATCAAAATTCATATAGAACAACGTTAAACCCCATAATGAAGAGAGAATATTTAGAGGTGCCCAAGACAGCAGGGGCACTGGATCTACCCAATTCTGTTCATTGCTAGTGGGTGGCAAATCTGGTTATGTTGCTGCACTGGAAATATACATATGAAAAGAGTGCAAGTGAATTGTGGATGCAAATGGAATTACTGTCTAGCCAAATGAACAAGCTTACTTCTCCTTTGCCATTGGACTATAAAAAGCTTTTTACAAACCCTGTAGTGGAAAAGAGGTTCGAATAACCACCTCCAAAGGTCTGTCAGTTGCTGTTGCTGCAAAAAGTTCCACTCTGTTTCGCCTCCTCTTCACCTGCATTAAGGTTATCACCCTACCGTCTGCTCTCGCTAAGGAAACAAAGCAAAGGATGCATGCCTCCACCAGAACCCTGAGAGGGATAGTTTCTCTCTGCTGAGTTTTCTTGAAATCGTTAAACTCATCCCTGCCACTTACCTATCTCTCATAAACGCTTTGTTCCTATTGTTGTCACTGAGGCGTTATCTGGAGGATTAATGTTTTTAGAAATGTTTAAATGTTTGTTTCTGTTTGAATTTTCTGGTCCTCAGTCTGTCTGGTCATTATAGCACTTTTAACACCAATCAGATTTAAATCAATGTGCAGCACTGTAAAATAAGCCAAATATAAAATCTGCCAATTTAGTTCAAATCTGTACTCTACTAAAATACGAAATATATTATTAAACAAAAAAAAAAAAAAAAATATATATATATATATATATAAGGTGTATTACACTACAAACATTTATAGTGTTTAGAATGTGTGTTCACCTTTTTCATAAATTAAAAATCGAATTAGTTTGTACGCCAGTAGAATAAAAATCATATTTCTTTTTTTTTGCCTTAAATCTAACCTGACATGGAGATCCAACATTTCAGGTGGTTTGGCCAGTTTCTATATCTTACAGGTCATATAATCCAGTGACAGAGGCTTCACTGAGCATCTTACATACTGAGTCACTGCAGTTAATCCAGATTATACGGTGCAGATGTTCCTCTGTTACTACATGCCTGGGTAATCTAGTCGGAGTGTTTATTAGGACTGCTACCATTGAGGATTTTAGACACACTGAAGGAAAAAGGATTCCCCATCCTAATCCTCAGAGGGGCGGCCTGGTCTACTGCTTTCATTTTCAAATAGGGGTTGCTCTCAGGCACTGAAGGATAAAACTTAATAAGTAGCAACCAGTGCTCTGCCTCTTTGCACATTTGTTCAGAACTACTTAACATTTCTAAATCAACAGCTCTAACCCATTGCTGATCGAGTATGACCTGTGGCACATTACTAAAGCTAACTGTAAACATTTCTTGTACTGAATGTGTCTGTAAAGGAAATATGAGAGAGATTTGCTGCCAGGTTTATCTCTCGATCTTCAGACTGCCAGATGAAAATCATGTGCGCTGACTAATCAGCCAAAAGAATATCCTTTTGGCCATGTAGCCAAGATTCATAATCAGTCGGAAATATAGTGACAGGGCCCCGCACTATCACAGTTATTCTGATGTGCCGTTGATTGTGATGCTTAAGATTGACACAGCTTCCTTCAGCTTTGATGCATTTCTAAGCTTCTCTGATCATATAATAACAATATCTGACATCTAACAATTACTCTTAACCCTGAGTTTGGTTTCATCCTGTTCATCTGGAGACTGTGATTGAGGAAAGATGACAAGTTCAATGCACAAGGCCTCTGGTAAATGTTTTAAATGTCCCTGCATGTGTCCTTTAAAAACCCAACATTATATGAATGCTAATCATTACCAAGGGAAACTACAGCTATAGCCATTTTCCTTTTATCTTGCTTGGTGGTTAGAAAACCCTTGTGCTGAAAACACAATCTTGTTTAAGTTTGTAAATCCTGCTGCTGGAAGGCCATACAATTCATGTGTGGTAACATGGCCTGTTTTTTTTCCTTTTGGAGTTAATTTCATGTCCCTTATTTTTAGGATTTGGGTTTGCTTGTTACATTTTGAAGTTGTTTACTGTTCTTGTTAGATTAACCTTGGGTTGCTGTGTTTTTCTGATTTTGTTTTGGTTTTGAGGTGAAGTTACCACTCACATCTGGAGTGGCCCATTTCAGCGGCACAGGTGTTCTCCATCAGCTAAGCAGCATGCAGACCAGGAAGCCGGTAATAAAAGTAGCTGTGCAGTTGAAGGGGATTGAAGCTGGATCACAGGTGTAGGAGCGGCAGAGTGGGACTGAAAGACTAGTTGCCACGGAGATTCCTCCAACTGGTCGCCGTTGAGGAACAGACGGGTGTTGGAGTGCGAGTGGCCGGATCGCCGCTGTGCAATAGGAAAGACTGTGTGCTGGAGGGGACCGTACCCCCTCCCCCCCCTTGGTCAGCTAAGAGTTCATCTTTCCTTAAACAGACTTATCCATTGACCCTGCCACTCCTTACTGCCCTGCATTTTCTCTTTTTAGTGAATTAATTTTTTATATAAATTGCTATCTTTTAGCGGCTCGTTCTTTTAAAACCCTGCCAACAGGCACTGCAGATTGTTTTTGAATAAATCTGCCACTCGGGTCCCACACATGCATCATCACAACATCTGACTTTCCCCTATAGAAGGCAGTGGCTGTGACTGACTGCAACAGAGTTGAGAACTTCTGCACACCTGGCTGCATCAGTTCTTTTACAAAACACATGGAGCCGACTAAACTGCCTTAATCCAGCTATAAAGTGTTTTATTGAACGGACTTAACCATTCTGCAGCCTCTGACTTTTTTTTTTCCTTTTGACCTAGCCTGTATTAAAAATCCTGTTTGACAATATAAAAAAAAAATCCCCACATCAGGATCCTGCCAACACCATGCTTTAATCTAGTGATTGCTTGTTTCTGATAAAAGGGAGTGTTCATTTTCAGCTACAAATATTATTTATGGTCAAAAAGGTTCAGTTTTGGACTTGGCTGACAAAATAACATTATGTCCCATTCATTGCTCACATCAGACTTTAAACACAACTATCTAGGGTTACCATTAGGCAATACTAGGCAGTTGCCTAGGGCCCCAAGTTCCTGGGGGCCCCATAAAACTTGGCTAAAATGCCATCATCTGATATCAGGTGTTTAAGCCATCTGATAATATTAAGTGTATCTCAGCACACACCCCCCCCTTCAATGTCCATTTGCTGCACATGCTCAGAAAGGTCCAAACAGACAGTAGCAAACCATTTGAAAACAAACGATGTAAAGAGCAGTG